GGACAGAAACATTATCATCAGAAAACATAACAGGCTCAGGCTCAAGAGGAATACCTGGAACTGTATCTGCCGAATCTGGAGTTTCAGAAGGACTGACAAAGAGTGGTGTGGGTTGAGGATGTGTGGAGTCAACCATCATCTGTCGGCGCTGATATTGCTGTGAGGCTGCCCGTAGTGGCTCAGGTAATGAAACTGGAGGTGCAGGTGCTGGCTGAACTGATGGTGCAGGTAGTGGCTGAACTGATGTAGATGTCTAGCTGAATTGATGGAGGCACCACAGAAATAGGAAGAAGAACAAATTGTGAATTCTTCTCCCCAAAACTCTCCCCCTGAGGAGAACCACTCGAGAAGAATAATGTGGATTCAAAAAAGGTAACATCCATAGTGACAAATCTGCTCCTCGACACTGGGTCATAACAACAATACCCCTTTTGGTTCTAAGCATACCCAAGAAAAACACATTTATTGGCCTTAGGATCCAATTTCTTGCAATGAGGGCCAAGAATGTAAACAAAAGAAACACAACCAAAAAACCTCAGAGGTATATGAAATATCTCTCCATCTGGAAAAAGAAGGGTAAATGGCACCTTAAACCCCAAAGTCCATGAAGGAACACGGTTAATCAAATGCACAGCTGTAAGAACTGCATCTCCCCAGAACTGCATAGGAACTGAAGCACACACCATAAGACTCCTTACCACCTCCACAATGTGTCTGTTTTTCCTCTCACCAACTCCATTCTGTTGTGGTGTATATGCACAACTGCTCTGATGAACTACACCATGTTCTAAGAAATACGTGGTCAGGTCTTTCTCAAAGTACTCTCTAACATTATCTGATCTAAAAGCCTTAGATCTCACTCTAAATTGTGTGAGAACCATCTAGTGGAATTGTCATACTAAGTTAGGAACCTCATCATGTGATCTCATCAAATATATCCAAGAATATCGTATATAATCATCCACAAACAAGAGAAAGTAACGGAATCCTCCCATGGAAGGGATTTGATATGGCCCYCATACATCAATGTGAACAATATTAAAAGCAGAAGTACTTCTTTTATTACTTGGTTTAAAAGACTGTATACAATGCTTTCCTAACTGACAACTCTCACACTC